TGCCTGGGCCCGGAACTAAGGGAGTCTTCTCCCAAGGGCCACCATCTCTGGGAACCCAAGCCGAAACTTCTGGGCATCTCGGTTTGCTCCCAGTGCGGCCAGTCTGGGGTCTCAAAACTAACCGCCCTCAGTACCAGTAGGTAACTCAGCGAGTGGCCAGTGGATTAGAAATGGCTTTCTCTCCTCCTTCCTGCATCAATTCGTTCATTTTCTCCCTATCAATGCCCTCGGCCAAGCTAACAACTAAATTCCACAGGGATAAATGTGAAGTTAGGGCGAAACACCACATTCCACAAAAACAGCTTAGGAGACGTAAGATGATTTGTGAAAAGCTCTCAGGAAACGGACAATGGTAATGATAGATCCCATTCACAGAAGCATGAGGTCCAGAGAAGGGGAGAGGGCCACCCGGCTGTACTCCTGGGCTTTTCCCACCTACCTTGAGTGTTGGGTTTGGTGATAGGTCCTGTGCTTCAGGGCACCAAGAGTTTCCTAAGAGACCCAGGGGAAGGAGCAAAGGTGAAGAAGTCTTTGGGGATCATCAGTAAAAGAAGTAGTTGAAGACATTGGACCTAAGAGGACATTCAGGGGAAATAGCTCAAATTCTTGGCTCCAGGTACAGGGAGGAATCTCCTTCAGTGTGTGTGAGGCCAAAGACAACTCCCGATTCACAGCCCCGCCCTTCTTCAGCCTGGACCGGGTGGTGGTGCTGGGGTCTGGCTTCCTGCCTGTTGATAAGGGCAGGCCCACCTTGATCCAGTGAGGACCTCACCTTACCCTGGATTCATCTGCAAGACCTGTTTCCAAATAAGTTACTGCTACGGTTTGGATGTGGAATGTGCCTCAAAAGCCCGTGTTTTAAAGGCTTGGTCACTAGCAACAGGGCTGAAGGACAACAGAGGGGAGCATCCAAACTGTAAGCCAAAATAAACCTTTCCACCTTACAAGTTATTTATGTGAGAGTATTATGTCAGGTATTATGTCAGAGTGATGGAAAACTGACCAACACAGGGCCTTCCCAGATAGTGGGGTTAGTAGTTATCTCCTGGGAAGACACAGTTGGAACCCCAAAACCCATTTCTTTAATCTGCTGAAGAGAGATCGGTGTAAGAAAGAAGGGAGAGGGGAAGGAAGGAAGGAAAGGAAGTGGGTTCAGTGGAAGAGCTACTGCAGGGTGCATGCATTCAATCTCCCTCTGAGCATAATTCCGCACACACGCCAAGGGATCCACGGAAATGACCGTTTTTATGACATCGTTGAATTGATGCATTCATAACTATGGATAGTTATGCAGCCACTAAAAAGAATGTATTTAGAAATGAGCTCATACTGCCGGTGTGCAGCTCAGAGGTAAAGAGCTCAAGGCTCTGGGTTCCATCTCAGCCCTGAAAAAAAAAAAATGAAAAAGTTAATATGTTGTGTTGGACTGTGTGATTTCTATTTACAATTTCTATCAAATATAAAATAACACCCTAGACATAGAGCGAAAGTTGCAATCTGGAGAAAGTTTTATGCCCCCTGATTCCTGTGCTATTTCCTTTTAGGGTTTTTAGCCACTTGGGGATTGATATCAACTTATCATTTTTTGAATTAGAAAATAAAAAGTTTTCTAGAAACTGAAATTTTAAACTGGAGCGATGTTTGTCATTATTATAAAATGAAAAAAAGCAAGTTGCAGATTGAAATGTATAGCATGACTACATTTTTAAAATAGGGGGACAGCTGGGGATATAGCTAAGTGGGTAGAGTGCCTGCCTTGCATGCACAAGGCCCTGGGTTCAATCCCCAGCACTGCAGCCTTTCCAAAAACCCATTTGGCAGTTTCTCATAAAACTAAATGTCTTTGTTGTATGACCCAGCAATTATGCTCCTGGGCATTTATCCCAGAGATGAAGATTTATATTCACGCAGAAACCTGTACATGGGTGTTCACAGCCACATTGTTATTAATAGCTGGAATTAGCAGGTTTCCTTCAGTGGGTGAAGGATTAAACAATGGCACAGCCATGCATGGGCTGTGCTTGGCAGTAAAAGGAACAAATTGTTGACATGACAGCTTGGATGCATCCCGAGAGAGTCGTGCTGAGCGGAAACCACCAATCCCTGAAGGTGATGTGTTGTGTGGTTCCGATTGTAGATCGTTCTCAAGATGACAGAACCATTGAAACGGAGAGGACGGTTCCTGCCTTGGGTGGAGGAGGGTCGGTGGCAGGAGGAGGTGGGCGTGGCCAGGGCAGTAGGAGGGGCCCTTTGGGGATTGGACCATTCTGCATCTTGATTGTATCAGTGCCACTCTCTTGGATGTGACGTTGTACTAAAGTTTTGTAACAAGTTATCATTGGGGGAAACTGAGTCAAGGGGACTGGATATTTTCATATATTTCTTAAAATTGTATGTCCATCTACCATGATCAAAAAACAGGATTTATTTATTTATTTTTTTTAAATAGGGCCTGAGGCCTAGCACAGGGACGTATGCTAGTAAATCCAATGACTCAGGAGGCTGAGGCAGGAGGATCACAAGTGGCTGAGGTCAGCCTCACCTAAGCAACTTAGCCACTTAGCAAGTCACTTAGCAAGTCACTTAGCAAGACTCTGTCTCAAACAATAAAAAGGGCTGGGGATGTGGCTTAGTGGTAAGTTCCAAAAATATGAGGCCTAGGGGTGTAGGTGGTGGAGTATGGGCGTCGTGTGGGCAAGGCTTTGGGTTCAACCCCCAACTTTCTCCCCAAAAGGGGGAGACCCACACGTGTGTACGTGTGTGGGTGTGCACACAAAGGATGCCGTGGGAAGACAGACAGCAAACCCAACAGGTTTTCTGCTGGAGAACAAATCTGCACGGAGAGATCATTTACTTCTTTTTCAACCTCTTATTTACTTGTTCCAACAAGAAGGTGTGACTTGGAGATTTTGTTCAGACCCATGAAGTGAAATAAAGAAATAAAGTGTAGGGAGAGGGAACGGCAGAGAGCCAGCCCCGCCTGCACCACCCATATCTGTGGAAAGTGCTCCTCTGGGTCTCCTTGAACGTTTCCGAATCTACAGTGTGAGAGGCAGGGGTGAGTGGGGTGTGCACGGCCCCCTCTGGGCTCCGTGACCCCACCAACCACCGGTCATCCTGGACCAGCCAGCCCAGGTGCTCTGTCCTTGTGAAAAGCAAAGACATTAGATGGGAGGATGGGAGCCTCTGGTTTGGCAGCAATAAAGTTCCCCTGAGCATCCCCAGGGGCTCTGAAGTATCATCCTGGTGCCTTGAGGGATAACCTCATGTGACTCTCTGAGGTCCCCAGGGCATGGGGTGTGGTTACCCCCATGTACAGATGAGGAGACTGAGGGGGGACTGGGTCCTGCAGAGTATGCTGTCGGCATGTATGTCACTCAGGGCGTCACCTCCGAGACCCTCACTCTGTCTCCACCCTCCTGGCCCTTGAGCCCAGGAGCCTTCCAGAAATAGTCTTGCTTCTGAGCCTCTCAGCTCTTCAGAGGCAGCTGAAAGAGCCTGGTGGAGGGAGGGCTTGAGGGGGGCAGCTAGCGACCCACTCGTGGGTACCAGGTGGGAGAACAGTGTGCACCCAGGCTACTAGGGACAGAGAGACAGATGTGTGTCTGCCACCGACCCTGCTTCCAAACTGTGCTCCTAACTGGCTATGAGGTCAACCCGGGCTGCAGGAGGCCAGCAGGACACTTGGCAGCAGCCATGGAAAAAGAACAGGGCCCCAGTTGGAAGCAGCCCCAGGCGGGCCCACAGGTGCCCGGAGGAGCTCCTTGCTGGGCCCTCACAGGCTGACCCGGGAAGGGCGGGCACAGGCAGGTGCCCACTGCCTATGGAACCCTGTGTGTCCCCCTCTCATCCGGTTCTATAGTGGGCACTCCCAGGCTGCTGGGCAGCAGGGGACTAGGAGAGTTGGACATGTGATCCTGGAAAGTAAGACTGGCCTGTCCTCTTACAGTTACTAAACCCAGGAGTCCTGCCTGCAACCCTGTGAAGGCCGCTTCTCAGAGTGGGAAGAAGACCAGGCGGGAGCTGGTCTCAGGCCTTCCACAGTTTGTCTTGCACCGTGTTCTCTGTCTCTGGACTCATTGAGTAAGGGGACTGCAACTGAACTGTGAACAGATGCGGTGTGCACACTGTGTGGTGGTCGAAAGAGAGGGAAGGACACAGACAGACAGACCCTGCCCCAACCTCGGCCTGTGCCAGGCTGGCTGCTCTGTCTGGAAGGCCCTCTCCACCCCATTCGCCAGGAGCAACTTCTTTGCCGATTTTCAAGCTGTGGTTCTTGAGTGCCCTTGGGTCAGGGATCTCACATGCTGCCTGCCCAGGACAGTCCCTCATGGCACCTCTGGACCCAGCAGTTATGGATAGTGAGTCTTTCCCTCTCACAGGGGGTCCAGGCTTGGACCATAAAGAATATGGTCACCTTTTAGGTGTCCCCCAAAAGCTGTGTGAGGCAATGCAAAAAATTCAGAGGTTCAATGACCGGATTAGGAGAGCCTCAACCTTAACCTGATCCACTTGGATGGGTTAACTGGTGCTAGCTGCAGGCAGGTGGAGGAGGTGGGTCGCAGGGGTCAGGTCTTTGGGGTTTATATTTTGTCCCTGGTGAGCAGAGCTCTCTTGGCTTCTTGAATCATCATGTCCTGAGGTGCTTTCCTCCTTCCACACTCTTCTGCCATGACGTTCTAGCTCATCTTGAGCCCAGAATAAGAGGAGTCTGCTGTTTATGGACTGAGACCTGGAAACCATGAGCGCCAAATAAACCTTTCCTCCTCTAATTGCTTTTGTTGGGTCTTTTGGTCACAGCAATGAAAAAGCTGGATAAAGCAGGGTCCCTGCCCCACGGTGTGGTTGTTCTCTGTGGTTGTATCTGAGGCCCCTGGGGGTCACCGAGGCAGACTCCTCCCCGCCCGTCCCCGCAGGGCCTGCTCCGGGCTCTGCGCACAGACTGTGACCTCGGAGTGACCGCACAGCACTGACGGGTGTCGTTCTCTCCTTCCCTGCAGGGATCTACAAAGGGCACTGCTTCCGGATCAATCACTTCCCCGAGGACAATGATTACGACCATGACAGCTCCGAGTACCTCCTTCGTGAGTGTCAAGAATCCTTGGCTTCCCCTGTTGGGGGGGGGGCAGGGGGTGCGGGGGAGGGGGTGGCGGCTGGAGGCCGATGGACACCTGGCGGGGCACGGGGGCTCTTCTCTGGAAACCGTGGACGCTCCCTTCCACTGCCTGGTGACCTCAGAGGACAGAGTTTTGTGCAGCGAGGCCATACCGGGCTGGGGATCTTGGTGGAGGGCTCCGCTGGGGGCCAGTGTCCTGGGGAGACTGAGGCGGGAGCTGCTGGGCGTGGCCGGCTTCGGGGAAGCTGATTGGCTGGAGCCGAGACTGGCACCGGAAGGTTAAAGACGCAGGTGCTGCCTCCCTGCGGGGTGTGGTGGCCTGCCCACTCCCTGCTATCCCTGATGTGTTCTAGAAAAATCAGACTGAGGGCATACCACCACAGCTTCAGGGGGCTCCAGGCAGCCTGAGGGAGGGGAGAAGGGCAGGGCAGGTCTGGAGGAGCTGGTTGAAGTCCTTCCTGCCCCAAGGACCCAAGCCACGCCTCAGCCCCTGGGCTGTCCCCAGAACCCCTGCCCCTGCCCCTGCCCCACCTGGGCTCCTGTGGCTGTGTGGGGCCCACACTGGAGCCGGGGGTCCCTGGGACAAACCTAGCCCTGCACCCTGAGTCCAGAGCTCATCCCTGGGCCTGGGAGTACCCACTGGAGGAAAGGGGAGCCACAGAGGAGTCCAGGAATGGAGTAGCAGCATCTCCAGGCCGCTTTCCCTTTCACCTTGTCCAGAGTCTGGAAGAGCGCACAGGCAGCACCCCGGGGCCGGGCCCAGCTTCGTCTATGGAGAATCAATACCAGTGCCCTCAGAGGGAACATAGTTCACTCTGCACCTGTTTATGGATTTTTTTTTTTTTCTCTAAAAGAAGGGGTTTGGATTCTGAGTCATCTAGTGAAATAGAACAGTGTGCGGTTCCCATGGAGCCGAGGCCGTGTCAGATGGCTCCAGCCAGGCCCAGGACCTGAAATGATTTGGTCAAAGCTCTGCCCTCATTCCTCCTCCCTCATTTTCTCCTTCTCCTCCTCCTCTTCCTGCCTGACCTCTGATTCTGCTTATTGGGGGACCCCTACCAAACTGGGAAAATGAATTCCCATAGGGCTGCCAAGGATAATTGTGGAGGTTGCACACTGCACACAACTCAAGGATTGTCATTTGCCTATATATGGTATGAATGACATCCTTCAGCTTCTGCAGTGTAGGATGGAGAAGAATAAAGCAAGAGCCTGAGGGGCAAACAAAGAAGGGGCTGGACCAGCTTTAGTTGCTGGAGTCCTTGAATTCCCCCAGCACTGTCCTGTGGAGGGCCCAAGGACTTGGAACGCCCAGAGTCACTTGCCCACAGCAACTAAAGGTCACTTGGAAAGGGAGTGTGCACCGTGGGGAGAGCAGCCAGGTTCCGTAAAAAGCCCGGGAGAGCCATGGAGGGTGGACTTCCAGCCTGTGTTCTTTAGCTGCCGGCAAAGCTGGGGTTGGAGGGCAGGGCTGGCTTCCTGATGAGGAGGTGTGCCTCAGACAGGGACTTTGGCCCGTCTGAAAGCTGAGCTCTGATTGTGCCTTTGATTGTCCTCTACCTCCCAAGTGCAGATGAGCTTGGGGCCAGAGCAGAGGGTAACTTCCTGAGCTAGACCATGGGTTTCCAGTATTGAGCCTCTGGGCTCTCTCCCAGGTCTCCTGCACAGGGAGAAGCCCAGGCGAGAGGTCTCTGGGGACTGAGGTTTGCAGCAGATGAGGAGGTTTCATGAGAATTCATTTCCTTACTCAGCTCTGTGGGTCTGCTATGTGCCGGGCCCTGTGACAACCACCTGGGATCCAGCAGTCGGGAAGCAGAGCCCTGGTCCCTGGTGCCGGCAGGCACCATGGTGGGCTGCCTGCCCAGCTCTCCAGGTGTGGACCTGGGAGGCCCCAAGGCCATGCTGTGCACACTCAACCTTGAACCATTCAGGAGGACGTCAACCCTGAGCCACCCATTCTGAAGCCAGGCTGGCGTTCTGGGTTGTCATGGGGCTCCTGATGGCCTCTGAGCTCTTGCCGTGCCACTGCTAGTATGCACCTCCATCGCCCAGGATCTGAGGGAGTCGCCACCCCACAGCCTTCCACGGGCCCTACTAGCTCCAGGGTCCCTCCATCCGGGCCTGGGCCTGGCACCCCGTCGAGGTTTGGCCTTCCTGGTTTGGTGGGCTCCCTTCTACCCAGCCCCTCTGACCTGTCTGCTGAAGGAGGACTTGGGGGAAGGATGGTGACTCTGATTCTCTGGCCAGCCACAGCTCAGAGGCACGTTTCAGAAAGACACAGGAAACCTCCCCAGCCTGTAGCGTCGCCAAGAAGGCACAGGCAACAGGGAGGAAGGGGCCGGAGAGAAGAGCTTCATTTAAGGCCCCAGACAATCTCTCGTCTGTGAAGCAGGGCACACACTGGTGTCTATACAGAAAGGAGACAAAAGGGGCCTTCAGAGGCTGAAAGACCCCAAGCCCATCAGCTGGCTCAGGAGGGGCGTCTGCCCGCATTCCCTGTCTCACCGTCCCCTGCCGGGGTCACCAAGCCCACGCCACCGGATTCTGCTGGGCTGGGAGACCAGCAGGCTCCCAGGGACGGCTGAGCCCTGGGATGCTCCTCAAGTCCCTCCTCCCTTCCTCTGACCCCCTCCCACCCCAGACGCTAAGGGAGGGCCTGATGCCCCACGAGGGCTTCGTGTTTTCCCCCAGTAATCCCCTGAGGTGGGTCTCGGGAAGGAATGCACAAGCTCCGTGGCTTAAGACAGAGAAAAATGGCTCTCGGGGTGTGTTGTTCAGAAATCCACACTCCAGGAGCTGGTGGGATCCCGCCCCCTCTGCGGGCTCTGGAGGGCTCTCTCCCGGCCTCTTCCTGCTTCTGGTGGCCTTCTTTGGCCATGTCACTCCACTCTCTGCCTGCCTTCTCCTCTGTGTCCCCTCTATGGATAAGAGCCCATGTCTCCCCTTGTCAGAAGGACACTTGTCATTGGACCTGGGACCACCTCATCCATCCAGGATGATGTCATCTTGAGGCCCTTGATCACACCTGCAAAGAACTTTTTTCCAAATAAGATCCCATGCCCAGGTCCGGAGGTGGACAGGGTGTGGATGTGTTTGGGAGCCACACTTCAACCCCTACCGATTGGCATCACTTCTCTCTTCTATGTGACCATGGACTCAGGTGGTCACCTCAGCTACCTGCCCTGGGTGCCCCGCTTGTCCGTGGCAGAACAAGGTCAGGAATGCAGTTCAGCTGCACAGCTCACAGCAGCTCTGTGCACCTAGCAGCCTCTTCTGTGAGCTTCTAAGGGGGCGGGGCGGGGGGGTGACAACAGTGAAGAAGGTGAAGAGTCACTTAGGAAGCACAGAATGTGACGCTCCCTGTGCTGAGCACTCACACATACAAAACCAACCACAGGACCTTGGTCCCAGACAGGGCCCCCTTGACCTTGGTTTCCCCTTCTCAGGTGTTAGCCGACCACAGTTCAAAAACACGAAAGGAGAAAAATCCCAGAAAATAAAAAATCCATGATAAGTAATTTTTTATTACAGTGGATTGTTAGAGTTGTCTTATTATTAGCTGCTCATCTCTTACTGCCCCTAATTTGTAAATTGGACTCTATCACAGGCATGGATGGATAGGAAAACCAAGGCCGACTCTTTGCCATGGGTCCAAGTGCATAGGAGGTTCATACTATCCACAGTTTCAGGCTTCAAAATGCACCCCCTGTGGGGGCTGCTCACTGAACCCTGTGTCACGGGTGGGGAAACTGAGTTTCTGAAGAGGTGAAGTGACGTGGCCAAGGCCACACAGCCAGTAGGTCACAGAGACCCAGCTGATGTACCAAAGCCTGTGGTCTCCAGCCGCCAACGAGCGCTGCCTCTTGTGGACGCAGGGCCCCAGGCTCCCAGAGGCCCCATGGAGACCATGTCCCAGAAAGCTCTGTGGGGACTTAAGACCCGCTGGAGGCTTGGTGGCCTGAGGTGTTACAGAAACGTGACACATTCCAAGGTTTTGGTGGCTGCTACTGTGACCTCTCCAGTGTCGCTGGGGGACCCTGCTCCCTCCTGGCTGATGGGCGTGGCCCGCACCCCAGGGAGGCTGAGCACGTGGGCAGATGTGACTCTGGGTCATGTAGCGTCTGGGAGAGCGAACAGCCAGCCTGGGGCCAGCTCTGGCCTTGGTCCAGCTGTCCTGGCCAACCCCCGTGCCTCCTGACCCAATGAGTCCAGGTCCTGATGGGATCTTCAAATCCTGGGGGAAGGACCTCCAGCCACAGGGGTCCTGGGAGGCGCCCATGTCCGTGGCCAGCGGGGCGGCTGGCCTCACTGCCCTCTCTGTCTCGTCCCTCCCTGGCCAGGCATCGTGCGAGCCTCCAGCGTGTTCCCCATCCTCAGCACCATCCTGCTCCTGCTGGGAGGGCTCTGCATCGGCGCTGGCAGGATCTACAGCCGCAGGAACAACATCGTGCTCAGTGCTGGCATCCTCTTTGTGGCTGCAGGTGAGCCCCCGCCCAGGCCGCCCGCTGGGGCCAGTGCTGCTGGGGGAGCTGGGCATACGTGGTCTGTGTTGCCAAGAGTGGGCATCCTGGTGGCAGGGGGGACCGTAAGTTAACTTTGAAAGCCCAGGTGTGCCAGGGCCAGGGAGCAACTGCTTAACCAGGTCTTTGTAGGGGGGGGGTGACAAAATTGTTTTGGAGCTAGTAGAGGTGATGGGCCCCCAATGCCACTGCACTGTGCCCTTCTGAAGGGTCATTTTATGTGGTGTGATTTTTCACTTCATCTAAAAAGAAAGTCGGGTGTGCGATGTGCCATCAAGACAGAGAGACGGGGGCTTTTCAAGCCTCTGAGGAGTCGGGGATCGGGAAGGCACCGGGTAAGTCATGGGAAACCAAGACCTAAAGGCGTTGGCCAGGTAAAGACAGGGCGAGGGCCCAGAATGGACGTGAGTATCACAGGCATTTACTCGGCATGGACATCGTATTAGTGGGTAAGTGATCCAGAGATGACCGGAGCCCAGCGCAGGGTGTGCTCAGGTTGTGTGCCAGCTCTGGGCTGTTTACGTGATGAACTTGAACTTGCAGATCTGTCATCTTCTGAGGGTCCTGAAATCTCTCCCAGATACCCAGGGATGACTGTACTTAGAACACAGTTCGCTACCAGAATGAAGGAAGGCGTCTCTGGGAGGGGAAAGACCAGAGCCCCTCCTCCGGCCGCCTGTCCCCTGTCCTGTCGCCGCAGCCGAGGGTCTGATCTCTGCCTCTGTCCCTCCCCGGTCCCCGCTTCTGCTTCTCTTTCAGGCCTCAGCAACATCATAGGCATCATTGTCTACATTTCCAGCAACACGGGCGACCCCAGTGACAAGCGGGACGAGGACAGGAAGAACCACTACAACTACGGCTGGTCCTTCTACTTTGGGGCCCTGTCCTTCATCGTGGCCGAAACCGTGGGCGTCCTGGCTGTAAACATTTACATTGAGAAAAACAAAGAGCTGAGGTTCAAGACCAAACGGGAATTCCTCAAGGCCTCTTCCTCGTCCCCTTATGCCAGGATGCCGAGCTACCGGTACCGGCGACGGCGCTCCCGGTCCAGCTCCAGGTCCACCGAGGCCTCGCCCTCCAGGGACGCATCTCCCGTGGGCCTCAAGATCGCCGGGGCCATCCCCATGGGCGAGCTGTCCATGTACACGCTGTCCAGGGAGCCGCTCAAGGTGACCACGGCGGCCAGCTACAGCCCGGACCAGGACGCCGGCTTCCTCCAGGTGCATGACTTCTTCGAGCAGGACCTGAAGGAGGGCTTCCACGTCAGCATGCTGAGCCGGCGGACCACCCCCGTGTGAGCGGCCCACCCCTCCTCTCCTCTCAGCACCGGCCTCTCCCCGGATCGGCTGCCTGGGGTCACACAGGAGGGCACGGGATGCTCCGGGTGGACGGACGGACAATGAACTGAAGCCACCCGCCACCCTCCCTGGTCTCGGAAGGTGTCGTGGGCTGGTGTCCAGTGGAAGAAGCCGGAGCCTAGAGCCGGGGCTGGGGAAGGTGGAAGGTGGACTGTATCCCAGAACGGGTGTTCGGCTGCCCCCCGGGGTTCCTGATCTCCCAGGAGGCCCAAGAGCTCTCCTGAGCTGCACGGGAAAATAAAATTGAGCCATTATCTCCTCTTGGAAACAAATCTTGCCAGAAGAATGGAATTTTAGAGCCTTCCTGCCTGCCTGGGCCCCGGGCCCTGGGCCGCCAGAGGCTTCTCAGGCACAAGGGGCCTCTGCACTCTCATCAGCTGCTTTTGAACCAGAAGTCCCTGTGTCTTTGAGCCAGAAACCAGGATGCTGAAGCTCCCTCCCTCCCTCTCTGTCTCTCTCTCTCCCTCTTTCTCTCTCCGGCACTCTGTTGTTGGAAACAGTCATTCTGAAGAGCAAGCTCTATAGCCAACTGGTGCTTCAGCCTCGTGCTGTCCTGGGGCCGATTTCCCTCCTCCAGAGGAGACCAAGGCTTGGGGAGGAGTGTGAGGCAACGGTCAGGTCTGTTGATGACCTCCTGCCTGCTTCTGGAAGTTTCTGCCTTGCTCAGAATGGGCAGGACACACTGACTGTACTTGAGGGTCTGGAGGGATCCACAGGTCAGAGTGGCCTCCTGCTGGACACTCCCCACTGGTCTGAGGAGCAATTCTGTCCCCTGAGCTGTAGGGGGTTGCTGAGGGATGGCACAGACCCCCTAGCCCACTGCCCCCAAATGGCATTTGGCAACAGAAGCCTGAACATCTGTGTAAGAAAGAGAGACCAGAGGGCGAATAGCAACCAAAACAAATGAAAATAAATACATAAACCAGAAGACGTGTATCCATTTCCTAGCTGGTCACCAATCATGGTCTGTTCAGTCGGTACCAGGAGAGCAAGTTCTGTTCATTTCCTCATCTTCAACAGTAGCAGCAACATGTCCCCCAACTCTTCCTATTGTAATTTATTCTGCCACCAGTAGAAAGGACACAGTGCAGGAGTTTGACGGAAGGGGCTGATCTGGGCCTTTCTTCCACCCTCAGAGAGAGAAATCTCAGCACTGTGTGTCTGAGGAAGGGGGTTCTGTGGTTCGCAGTGTTTCCTGCCATTTCTGCCCCCCTCCTGCAGCAAGCCGAGGAAGCGGGGGTGTGTCCAGGTTCGGAAGAGCCCCCTGGAAGGCGGAACTCACCCCCTTTTCTATAAACCGTGTGCTTTCTAAAGAGAAATCGTTTCTTACTTTTTGAAACTTCTTAATCCAATCTTGAACAGTCACCTGTGATCCCGGTAGCTGTTGCTCTCGGAAGTGACCGAACCAATTCTTACCTCAGCCACCTGCTCACGGAACCCCCTGGGCAACTCCGCCCTCCACCTGGGTCAACCAGGACTCGTGACAACCTGTGTCTTTCCCTGCCCGCCCCTGGCCCCCAGGAAAGGACATCACACCCCCACACACACCACCGGCTCCTGCGTGCGGGTGAGCTGAGACGTGAGGCCTGCCAGGTCCCCTTTGTGCTTGCTCAAAACCCTTTCCTCCCGGCCAGGATGGCTCTGTACGGTGACGTGTCCAAGCATGCACAGCAGTGAGCACCAGGGTCAGGGGCCGCCCGGGCCCTGCCTCCCTCCCCACCCAGCCCGCACCTTCCTCCACCACTTCACCACCATGCCACCGCCTCACCAGGCTGAAGGAGGCCTGTCCCCCAGCAGGACCCCAGGACTTGTCTTCTGTCTCCTCCAAAAGCAAGGTCGCCTTGCTGTTGCTGCCACACAAGCCACCCCCGACCGCTGCCCCAGAGCGTCCCAAGAGCGCTGCGCCCACTGAATCCTACCTCTTGCCCAGCCCCAGGCAGAGAACACAGGGCCCACGCTGGGGACCACGAGAGAGCAGACCGGAGGGGAAGATGCCACCAGGAGGGACGCAGAGCAGGGGCACAGCGCCCCTAGAGGCTCCTGCCGTCACAGCCTCTCCACCCACTGCCTCCGCTCCACCCAGGACCCTGGTCTCTGGCCGCCCTCCTGCTGCTGCAGCTCGGCCCAGGCAGTCTCGGACCTGGCCGTCCCTGGGGGATGTGTGGCCTGAGCCCGCCTCCCCGCCTCCTCCCGCCCCAGCCCGCCCTCCTACCCAGTGTTTCGCCAGTTAAGCACCTGCCATCCCGTACCCACCACTGGTTTGGGGTTGTTAGTTCTGTCTTTTTTTTTTAATTAAATAAAAACATTTTTAAAATGTTCTCTTCTTGATGCAGGGAGGTGCGGGAAGAGCCCCCCGAGTCTTTGTAGACACTTCGTGTCCCAGGTCCCCAAGACACTGGACCCTCCAAGAGAAGCGGGAGGCTGAGGGGGCAGCTGGAGGCTGCTGGCCAAGGCTGCCTTAGCGGGCTGCAGCCTGGCTCTCGGCCACCTCCCCAGGATGTGGACTACCTCAGACTTCTGGGTGGTGCCATTGTGGTGCCAGACGAGCTGGGAGATGGACAGGCCACCCTACAGTGTGGGGAGCATCTGGACAGCTGAGTGAGCCAGGCCTGTCCTTGGAAGCTGCAGGTGGGGGCTGGCAGACCAAGCCAGGCCACCAAGGCCCCATGTTACCTGGAGGGGTTCTGGGAGTGTCCACTAACCAGACTCCTTTCCCCTCCAAAGAGACTATAAGAGTGAGATGAGCCCAAGAACCCACATGTAAGCTCTGTGGCCAGGGAAAGTGGCTGGGATCGAGGACAAATGGGCTTCCTGCTGCTGTTGCCAGACCAAGCTACCTGATCCCAGGCTGGGCAGCCAGCTGCCACTTTCCCCAGCCCCGGGGACAAGTGACCTGGGGAATAGAGAAAGAGGTCACAGGGACCCCCTTGATCCAGGCGCTCCTTGACATCCTGCACCGGCCCCAGCAACACCTAAACCACCAAGTTCACCCCAGGGGTGTGCCATGGGTGGGTGCCGGGTTCCCCTCCTCGGGGGCAGGAGAGAGGGTAATCCGTGCCCTTCCCCAGGTATGGCCCACTGCAGCCCAGGGATCTTGACATCCAATTCCAGCTCCCCTTCTTGCAGGTCTGTGACCTTGAGTCGTCTTACTGGGAGCCACAGCTTTGCTGCTTCCTCCTGAAACCAAGGGGACAAAACTCTTGAGTCTCTTCCAAGAGAACTTTGTTCCCACGAAGACCTTTCATACCCTGGTCCCAGCGAAGGGAACCGAGAAGGGAGGCTGAGACCCAATGTCCTACACCCTGCCCTTGAGCCTGCAGAGACCGCTCCCTGCGTTTCTGGACTGGCTTTTTCATCCTCTTTGCTTTTGCCTGAGAGGCACCTGGGAAAGAGGGTGTGCTGAGCCTCCAGGCCCCAGGGCCAGCGGAGCTCAGGTCTTTGCCAGGTCCCACCCACTGACCCCCCAAGCTGCAGGCTGATTGTGCCACCAGCCTGGAGCCAAGGCTGCCTGGAGTTGGCACTTGGTGCTAGAACCTCTCTGTCCCCTGTTTATTCTTAGCACTGAGGAAACTCTGGCTCAGCACAAGCCTCACAGCCATCCCAGGTGAACTCCCATGCCAGTCTGCATCTGGTGACTTGCTCCCACCTCCCGTGGTCACGAGATCATGTGTTGAGTGCAGCAGAAATTTCCAGCTCCTTCACTCGCAGAGTTAGGTCCACAAGAACTGAGACGTACTAGTCCCTAACAAAGAGGCCACTCGGAGCCCCTCCCGCTCAAAAGCCCCTGTTCCATCCTCACTTGTGTTGCTCAGACTGGCCATGTCATCAACGATCCCCAAATGGACACTGGGCAATAGAAGTTCCTTTCTCACTCTTAGAAAGTCCACTGGCTGGAGCAGGAGAGGTAGTCCACTCCACACCATCATGCAGAGGTTTAGAGGCCATGCTGTGGGGGTCACCCTGGGCGTGGACACCCATCTCCATGCAGACGGAGGGCAGCTACAGTGGATGATCTCAGGGGTGGAGGCAAGGTGGGAGATTCTAATGGACCAGGAAGTTGGGGCCCCACCCTCTGTCCACGCAGTCCTGGTCAGAACTCAATCACATGTCCATGTGTAAGAGCAAAGGGATGTGGGATAGGCAGTCCAGTTAGGGAAGAGCTGGCCAGTCTCAGGCCTCCCTCCTTGGCCTCCTCCCCCAAAACTGTTGGGCAGTACCCACTTAAAAGTGAGACCTTCACCAGGTATGGTGGCACAGGCTTGAAATCCAGCAACTCAGGAGGCTGAGACAAGAGGATTGCAAGTGTCAGGCCAGCCTCCACAATTGGGGGAGACCCTGTCTCAAAATAAAAAATAAAAATGGCTGGAGGTGTGGCTCAGTGGTTGAGTACCCCTGGATTTCAACCCCTAGTATTGCAAAAAGAAGAAGAAAAAATAAAGATACCTTAGTCTGGGACCACGTCACTCTCTGTATTCTGAGCCCTTTGGTACAACTGGAACCTCCACACCACCCCCTCGAAATGATGTATTTCCAAATGTCTATAATGCTGAAGCTGAGTGCCCCACACCAGCCCAATTACATAGTGAGGAAAAACAAGGCACAGAGAAGGGGGTCACTCGTGCGCGGTCACCGAGCAGGCTGTTGGTGATTGCCTCTGGATTCTGCAGCTGTTAGGACAACTCATCCGTTTTCCCAGCATGCCTTTTCCCAGCCATGTGTTTAGATTTTTGCCTTTTCCCTCTTCACTCTTGAGCCTCCAGTTTCAGAAATAGAAGTCGGGGGTTGAAGAAGAAAGTGGGAAAATGGCCGGTCAGGAGTGAAGCCAATGTCCCTGGAAGCCTTTGGGCCTGGGTTTGGGAACAGAATGCTGATGGAATTCAACAAGCCCGGGAGCCTGGCCCGGCTTGACACCGGGACTCAGCGGCTCAGTGGTGTCTTCCCACAGCCGGCAGCTGCAGCGGGGTGGCCGAGGGCCAGAGAGATGGCGATCGAGCCCCAGCTCCTCCTCCCCTGTCCCCGGGGCCGCCGTGGACACGTTCCCCAGCCTCTCTCAGCCCTGTTCCCTCTAAGGTACCACCTCCCCCCGAGGAGTGTTAGGACAAGGACATAAACTTGGAAACATTCATAAATACCCCGGCACGGTCACTGAGTGAGCCTTCAAGAGGGTTTGCTGATAGCACTCCAGGAGTTTCCCACAATGGATTGTTCTAGAACAGCCTGTGGAGGGGGTGCCTGGGGCCACTGGTCTTTGGTTTAGGAGAAACCCACATCCCAACTGTGTGGCTGCCCCTGGGCCGGTCTTCCCGCTGCCAGTTTCTTCTCCAGCTGATGTCCATTTATTCCTGTCACCGGTGTCTCCTGCTGGGGACTGGTGGCTGAGGTTCCTCATAGCTGCCGCTTTCTTTGCAGGCCCTGGGAGGCCCCCCACCCCACCCCACTGGAGCGTTCTTAGTCTCACAAAGTTGAGGATGAGCTGTAGGAGCCCAGTCCTGACCCGCTCCACCCAGAGGTGCCCTGGGTCCCAGGTGTGCAGCCGCCTGAGCTGGTGCCCAGGGAGGGAGGGGGAGGGAAGGAGGGAGGCGGGGAGTTCAGAGCGCCAAGTCACACGACTCGGCTCCCTGCACCAGTGCCCAATATAGAACCTGCTGCCCAGCCCCAGTGACTGGACAGGGGAGGAAAGGAGAAGGGTGGCTCTGGGGCCTTGGAATTCAGAGGGGAGATGAGGCAGAGACTCCTGATGCGGATATTTTTAAACTTACAGCTTTAGACAAAATTACAGAACAAAGAGGAAAACAGAAGTCCATAGTCGACCACCAGCCCCCACCCTGTGCCTACCAGCAAGGGAAGGGCTGGTGGACCTCTATCCTGACCTTTGTCCCCCGAGAAGCATTTTAGAGGACACAGTAACACTTATGAGACACCCAGGACCCAAATTGTTTGTGGCAAATTAAGCTGCAGTAGCCAGGTTCATTAAAAAAATAATAACAATATATATGCTTTTCTAATTCAAAGACTGATACATTTTACACACACCCTCCAAAATACAAAAAAAAGTTCAAGCACTAGGGGTCAAAGTTCCACTACTCACTAGATGAGCGCAGTCAACAATTCACAAATTGGAAGGGGGCACTATGGCTTCAGACCCTCCACCAGAGGCTCCATGGCCGGGGGCTGGAACCCCCTGGAGACCCATTTACTCACACACTTGGCAGCAGAGGCTGGCAAACTCAGCGCCTCCACGTGGCCTCCGTGTGGCCTGAGCCCTGGTGCCTGGGTCCCAGTGTCCTGAGATGAGAGCAAGGTGGCAGTCTCAGAAGTCCCAGGCCCCACTGTTGCTTCAGGTAATGAAAAGCCTGCTCGGGTTCAAGGCGAGAGAAAGTGACTTCAACTCTTGGGGAGTGACTAGGTTCTAGAAGGAGACATGGGAAGGGAAATGTGGCTGTGGTCATTTTTCAGCCTGCCCACAGGTCTCTCTGCTACCCTCCCTGGCTCTGGGCTCCTTCTGCACCAGCCAACCCTCCCTCCCGTCCTCCAGCTCTGCTGAGCCTTCTTCCTGCATCTTTGACTCTCTCCACCTCCTGGGATAAATGATCCCATGCGCCCCCCCCTGAGGACACTGCTCCCTCCGCCCTCCCTGGAGAAATTGGCCTCTTCTGCAAAGGTCCCCCAACAGGATCCCAATAGAGCACCCCCAGCAGCCCAGCCCCTCACTCAGTGCCAGGAGTTCCCCGCTAGCAAAGGAGAGGGGCCTCTGAAGAAGCTCAGGGGGTGCCGAGGAAGCCTAGAGCAGATAAGCTTGTGATGGATCCTCTCAAACTCACAAAACTGGCAGCACAAGTCCTGTATGAGAGCCGGCAATGAACTCACATCCTTGGACTTGGACTTGCAGAAGAGAGGTATTGGAGCCTCTGGGGAGGAGTCTTCTCGGGGGTCCTGAAGGCCTTCCCAGCTCTGTCATTGCTCCCAACTCCTCCTTGACCCCTTCTATTTAATTAAATCGCTGCTTTGGGTTCTCTATGGTCTACGGGCATATCCTACATTGCAGAAATTCAGTGTCTGAACCTGAACCCATCTGCTTAAATCTGCTGGACTCCTCTAGACTGTCTCGTCCTTATCAGTGGCCTCATGTCCACCCAGGCCTCTGTCTGCCACCCTCACCCCTTCCTCCCACACCAAGTCTCCCACCAAATCCCTTTGGGACCACCGCCTGTGGGTCTCGCACACAGATCCCTTCCTGCTTAGTCCCCACCACCAGCCCTGCCTTGGTCTGGGCGCTCGGTGCCTGCAAAGGCCCCTTGTTATCTCAGCCCGCCCCCCTCATCCCTCACTGCTTTAGTGCTGACCCAGGTAGACGTAGACAGGATGCCCAGTATGAAGCTCCTGGTGTCTTGGGAAACAGACGCACTCCATTTCCCCGTGTGGTTGATGGAGCCCTGTGGGGTCTGGTCATAGCTGGCTTCCTTCCCCGCTTCCTCTCCCCTCTGATCCCCGATCCTCAAACCCGCCAGGACCTAACCACATGTAAATGGTCTGGGCCCCTTTTTTCCCTGCCTTAACCCCTGTTCATCCTCCATATTATCCGCGAGCTCTCTCCTGGCCCACCCCCTCCAGCATGGCCACCACACAGAGGTGCGTCAGGGGTACCCATGACCACCCTCAAGTTGTCTCAATGATTCATTCGAAGGACTCACAGAACCCAGAGAAGCTGTTATGATCCCAGTTCTGTCTACTACAGGGAAAGGACAAGATTCAAATCAGCGAAGGGAAAGGGGACCTAGAGCAGGGTCCAGGAGAGCCCAGGGGAGCTGGCAGCTGTCCTCCCCAGCAATGTCCAAGCTTGATTCTACAGGCAATGACGTGTGACAACATCTGAAGAACCACCCACCAGGAAAACTCATCTGAAATGAGACTTTGTGTTTGGGGGTTTTTACTGAGGGTCATAACCTAGGAACAGAGTGCTTCGTGAATGGCCTTAGCTACTCAGTCTCCGGACTCCCATCCCAGAAGTTAAGCTGTGTGGCATGGGCCAGGGTCCTCCCCGCAAATCCCACTGTTCACATAAGCAGTGGGACTTGGTATGGCCCCAGTCCCAGCTATGGAAAAACACTTGTATCAGGCAGCATATTCCAAGGGCTTAGAAATTGTCACCTAGACCAAAAAGAAGAAGAAAAAGAGGAAGGAGTTATTACCGAGCGCCAGTTCTTTCTTGGTAATGTGCAGGGTTTGGACGACCCAGGCCTGCTGAGTTAATGCTTTACTGACCACCTGTGTCCCCAGCCTGCTTCCTGCTCCCCTCTCTCAGAGCTGCTATCACAATGGAAGGATTATGTCCAGTTCTGCCACGGGACTGTGGGCTCCTCAAGGACAGACCTGGTGTCTTCCTCATGTTCTTAGCCCTAAGATGATCAGTCAATGTTTGTTGAGTGAATGACTCCATCCATCAATGACAGTGACAGTCGTAAAGTAGTTTTTCCCTAACTCCATCACTACCTCTTCTGCAGGATTCAGCCTTGTTGTCAAATTCCCCCACAATCATTCCCAGAGGAATGGTAATGAGGAAGATGGCCAACAAGGATTTCCAAGGGCTCATCAGATAATCATTCTCTTGGCTGGGGAGTAATCACTGCGATCCTTTCATTCTGGCCTGCTCAATGACGAGCTGTCTCCTGTTGCTGGGCAGGTCAGGGGCACCACACAGTGCACACCCTGCCCCCCAAAGGGCTTCTGGTGAGGGTGTGCACATCACCGCCTCCATGTATGGGTCCGGTGTATGCATATACGCTATTGCATTTAATTCTCGCCCTAGCCCACAGAACCTCTGTGAGCTCCGTGAGCAAGGACACAGGCTCAGAGAGGTGACCCATCTCTCATGAGGCACACAGTCAGTCCACAGCAAAGCTGGGCTACAACTAGCCCTTCCAGAAGCATGTACACATTCCCAGCAGCCCTAAGCTCCACACACCTGTCTCTTCATTACGCAGGCTAGATTTTGGCCACATCCTAGGCATGTCCTGTACAATTGTTTACTGCATCTTTTTCTTTAAATGGATGTTTTTTTTTCTCCCTTCCCCTGAAGAAATACTATTAAAGACGTCATAGTTTTGATACTTCTGGTCCACATTAGGGACCCTGGTCCTTGTACTGTCCTCCCCAGGGGCTCATGGGATGAACTGTGTAAACAGGCCTCCCAAGGGCTCTGTAAGAAGCAGACGCAGCACAGAGGCGTCACCAGGGCCCTGTGTCCTGCCTGGAGCTTTGCCCACCACTCTCGGCTCAGGGAGTTCTATCCTGGGAGGCCCAGCCCCTCCTCAGACAGGCTTGGTTTGATGGCTTTTCAAGGGCCAGGAGTCCTGGGGAGGGTCTCACCCATTTGGCCCCGGCAGGACCCGAGCCCTGGCCGGCTGTGTGGGCTGGAAGGCTCAGGGGGGTGTGAGAGAAACAGGGCAGTCAGAAAAGACTTCCAGGAAGCCCGGAAGCTGGGAGAGGTGTTGTACAGGAGGGAATGGGGCACATGAATAGGAGGAGGACATCTCAGTGGTCGTGAGCTGGAGAGGAACCCCCCCCAAACTTCCTGAGTCCAGGGATTTCATCCCATTTCCTCTCGGTCCATCGAAGGGCCTTGTGTTTTATTAGGTATGCGTTTTCCCTCCGGCTGCTCCCCTGCCTCTGCCAGCCTCTGGAGCAGGAGCTCTGGGGAGGGCATTGGGGGAGGAGCAGGTGACACACAGACCTGGGTCCCTCTGGGCAGAGGTTTGAAGGATGCGACTGAGGATCAGGAGCCTGCTGCCACAGGGGACCTGATTTAAGGAGCTGGGAGGGAGAGTAAGTGGTCAGGAGAGCAGGACAGTGAGTGGGGCCTTGCTTGTGGATGGTGAAACCCTCAGAGCCTCTCCTTCTCCGAATTAAGCCTGAGTTCAAAATCAGATCAGCACGGGACCAAAGAAAGTGTGTGGGGGGCCCTGGCCCCGGGGGGTTTAGAAAATCCCACTTCTGAGAGACGATGCTTTTCTTCCCCTAGTTCTGTTCTGGTCCTTCTTAGGAGAAGAGCCGCCTTTTAGGACAAATGAAAACCGATTCACCTTGCCTGAGCCGAGGGTGGCCCATCCACTTTGAAGATGGTGGGAATGTCAGATCTCAGGAGCAACTTCATTTTGAACTTGACCTCCCAAGGGATGACTCTGTCCTCCTAAGACACTCCTCAGCACCTAAAGGCATGTTACCCATTAGTCCAGGGGGTCCCAGATAGGCCCCTGCTGCCACTTCTTAGGTTACCGTGATCTTAAACACGTGGAAATGTCTCTTGGGTCACGTGACAGAGTATTTGAGATCCCGTCTCCTTCCTTTAGTTTATCTGTCCATCCATCTGTCCATCCATCTATCCATCTGACAGTCATTCAATAAGCATTTACGAAGACTCTACCCTGGGTGGCGACCTGGGCTGGGCCCTTGAGGGGATCTAGAACAGAGATATAGCAAAGTCTCCGTGTCCTTGCCTTCCAAAAGCTTATCACCCATCAGGGAAAAAAAACCATCTGTCGTCTATAAATAGCCACAATAATCATAACAGCCTTCTGGGATCGATTGCTTGCTGTCTTAATCAGGCTTCCATAAGCAGACGGTGTGCCTTCCACCACAGAAATGTCTTCTCTCCTGGGCTTGGAGGCTGGCGATCTGAGATGGAGGCGCATGGCCAGCATGGTCGGGTTCTGGTGGGGGGCTCTCCAGACAGCCTCCTCCTCACTGTGTGCTTATGCGGAGAGACTGAGGCAGCTCTGTGGTCTCTTCTGAAAACTCCCCCTCCGTGACCTCATCTAAACCCATTACCTCCCAAGGCTTCCTCTCCAGGTACGAGCAGGGCGAGGAACAGGGCTTGGACATGTGGATTTCAAGGGACACAGTTCGATCCATCGCATCTATCTTGGGCTAAGCTGCTAGAACGCATCATCTCTAATCCTCCCACCAGCTCCCTCCAGGCCCATTGCCCTCATTTTACAAAGGAGGAAAGGGCAGCTGAGAGAGCTTCTGGACCTGCTGGACGCCACACAGCTGGAGACCAGCCAGCAGGGTTTGATCCTGGGCCTGGCTCCATCCCAGCCAGCTCCTGCCCACTCACCCGCTGCCTCCCTAAGACGCTCTCCTGCCTGATGTCCTGGAAAGTGGAGCATCTGAGCGGAGCATGAGGAGGTGTCCCTGCCCGGGCTCCCAGCAGATGCGGGTGGCCATGGCCACGGACACCCTTCCTGGTCCAGCAAGGCTTGGGGTGTCGGGGAGGGCAGACAGACAGCTTGACAGTGGCCCCTGGGACAGAAAAGGTCTGCTCGAAGCGATCTAGTGAACAGGGAGGCGAAGGAGGCCGGCCTGCCATCGCCAGAGCTGCGGGCCAAGTGGTGCAAGGCTCACAAAGACAACTTCAAAGGAAGAGGCCATCAATCTTTAATGCTTCCACTCACGCTGGGCCGAGGACTTGGCACGCACCCGCGCTCCCCCCCCCACCCCCAACGAGGCAAAGCGTGGCACAAGTTGCTCCACGCTGCCCTCTCGCAGAGGCTGGGCTTCTTTGATGAGACCATGAAGTCATGGCAGCCGACGTCAAGTGAGCACCAAGAGCCGTGCATTTTCCAAGACCTCCGGAGGCAGCACAAGACAGCCCCAGCTGCCCTCCTTACCGGGAAAGGCATTTGCATTTCTTCAAATGACCCCACGCTTACTCACGGCGCTATCATTAAACAGCCTCTTTCTCCATCTTCTGTCTTTATACACCGGAAACGTCTGGCTCCCCAGCTGCTGCTGTCCTGGGGTGCATGGCGTGCAGTGGGTAAGCCCAGGTGACCAGCATCCCGAGAGCCCAGTTTCTGAGAGTTCTCCATGGAGAGGAGCCACCTGCGTGGAGCCAGAGGGCCCCTCTGAGCTGAGCAGGGCGTGGCAGGTGTCAGTGGGTCACTGGGCATTCAGGCGACTGTGGGGGACTAGCCCTACAGGAAACACAGGGGAGGGGCGGGGGGGGGGAAGGGGAGCAAAGATGAGACCATTTTTTGAGAGAAGCTCTTAGAGATCATAATCTGAGTTTTGACACTGGCTGTACCATTTCCTGGCTGTGTGAATTGGGACAAGTTACTTCATGTCTCTGAGCCAGTGTCCTTATCTAAAAAATGGGAGCGATCGTTGTTCTCACCCTGTGGATTAGTGGGAAGATCAACTGTGACGACATGAGAAGCCTCAGCAGAGTGCCTGGTAGAGAGGAAGCACCCGTTAGTGTTAACGTTCTGCGACTCCAAGAATGTCTCTCCACGCACTAGGAGAGTCTTTCTGTGAGCCTGTCAAACTGAGGCCAGGATTCTGAAGTTTGAGGCCCTGCCCAACTCAGGCTCTCTTCCTGGTCATGCATCAGCCTCTTCGATACACCCAACAAGGCCTGAGCAGAAACAGAAGAGAGAGCAGAACCCAGGAGGCACGTAGGAGCTGAGGGCCAGCCCAGGGAGAAGAGGCGGGGCAGAACCCTTGGACAAGGGTCTCTAATCCTCTTCTGTTCTCTGCTGTGAATGTGCACCCACTGGCCACAAATCAACCTATTGCCCTTCTTTTTTTTTTTTACATAAACGCTTTCTTTGTACATGAAGGTATAAATGGATCATCTTTATTTTCCACTTACAAAAGGCAAAACTAAGGACAGTGCCCTGGCACACAGCTGCAGCCCCATGCAGCCGGGCTCTGTGTCTTAGGTGGGGTCTCTCTTCACTCCGGAGGGCAGTTTGCAAGCTTCAGAAAACTGTTGAAGACTTACCCCAAACAGAGCTCTTCTTCTGGACCCAGGAGTGGAGAAGAGGGTTGAAAAGGAATTAATGTGACCATAGTGGGGAAGGCCAGGCCCGGGAGCCAGCCGAATCTTCCTGCAGCATGGGGGACTACGTGGGCCTGTGGCTGAAGTGCTTGCCTGGGAGGTGGCCTCTGAGATGACCCTAGGCAGATCCCTGGGTTCCCCAGATCCCCAGCATGAGGGCCCGCTCTCCCTGCCTTGGTGTCTGTCCTGCAGTGTGAGACCAGGAAGCCATGCCACCTGGGTCTCCCAGGGCCCTGCCCTTGCCAGGCTGTGCCTTGCAGCCCAGAGCTGGTAGATTTCACGCACCTGGTGGGCTGTCGCCTTCCCTGGGCCGCTGCCTTGTGCCCCTTCCCCGCTCCACTCCACGGAGGTCTCAAGTCACCATCTAGAGCCTTCTCTCCTTGCCCCGCCCCAGGGTATTTCTGACTTCCAGAGGGGAAGAGGGCCCTGAAATCCGAGCAGAAGCCATCCCCGGTGACACACCCAGGGAGCAGCATTAATAGAAGCCTTCCTCAGGCCCCTGACACGTCTGGGCAGCTGCTCGGCCCTGTCCAGCGTCCCTCAGCCCCAAGGCCAGCCCACTCTGGCTCAGTCAGGCACACTAAAGTTAGCTCCCACCCCTGGCCTGAAAACCACTGCCGCCACGCTAGCGGGGCAGCCACATACCCTGGGAGATACTGCTGCCCCCTGCCCCAGGCACCCACACCTTAGTGAACACCATGTCCCAGACCCAAGCCCTGAAGGTTCGTGTGGCCCTCTTTTGCATCCTGGTGGGCATTGTGCTGGCCATGGTGGCCGTGGTGACGGACTACTGGGCCGTGCTGAGCCCCCACATGGAGCACAACAATGCCACCTGCGAGGCAGCCCACTTCGGCCTCTGGAGGATTTGCACCACGCGCGTTCCTGTGGACGACATTGAGGACAAGAACTGTGGCGCCATCACCCTGCCTGGGGGTAACGTACCCACTCTCCAACCCGCTCTCCCCTCCGGCCCTTCCCATTCCCCTGATGGGTCGCCCATGGGAAGGAAGGGGGTTTCTCTGCCTGGGGTCAGGGAGCAGCCACCAGGCCCTTCCTAAGAAGGCTGGATCTGCCTGTGGCACCTGTACCGGTGGCTGCCGCCAGGTTGACAAATGAGGGTATTTGTCTCCAGCTCCTTCTGTCTGGCTGAGGCTTGGGGATTTTCATCCAGAGCAGACGGCAGGCCAGGTGGGACAAGAGGCCCTGAACAGGTCTACCAGCCCGGGGGCTTCTGACCCCAGCAGCGGTCACCCATTGGTGTCCCAGCTCCATTCTCTCTTTTCCGTGACAGGCAGGTGGCTCTATGTTCTCAGGCTGGAGGGACCAGGGGGCTGGTGGGTTCATTGCTTGGCTTCCAGGCAGGAGTGTAGATAGGATAGCTACAGAACTTGTGGGAGTCCGTGCAGAATGAAAACACCGAGTGTCTTATTCCTAATTATGGAGAATTTCAAGTTGAGCATGAAACCAAGCACAGGCCCTTCTGAGAGCAGAGCCAGGGTGCAGGTCTCTGAAACAGGATGTGGTCGGGCATGAGCCACCTGCTTGTCAGAACCCGGGTATTCAGAGGCAGGTAGAGTGGTGTACGCCTCTAAACCCTGCAACTCGGACTTCAGTAGGTGAGGCAAAGAGGATCACAAGTTTAGGGCCAGCCTCAGCAACTTAGCAAGACCTTGTCTCAAACTAAAAGGTCAAAAGGGCAGGGGATGTAGCTCTGTAGTAAAGAACCCCTGATACAGATTCAATCCCGGTACTGGGGCCGAGGGCGGGGCAGTGGGGTAGGGAATATGTGGTATTCACGTGAACTGATCTCTCTGCAGAATAGAGATTCCGCAAACATGGAGTTCTCAGGATTCATAGTAATCAGAGCACTTGTTCGAGGAAAAAGTACTGCACGGGGAAGGGGGCTTGGGCTGTAGCCACCACTGCTCACCACCTCCAGGATGACTATTCAGGGAGGATGAGGTCCTTCTCAGCCTCTGGTTCCTCCTCTATAAAATACAGGACTTGGGCTCAGCAACATAAGATCCACTTGGAGACACACTTATGAATGTGTCTCCAAGGTGGCAGTGGACCAGGGTATGTGTGACATTCCTCCTGATGCTCAGAATTATTCTATTACCTGACCACGTATTCCTGAAACCCCCGCTTCAAGGGAATTGGCGCTGAGACCCCAATGATCTTGCAGACTGGGTGTGGGGCAAAGAGCCCAAACCCCACCTCCCACTCCTGGCCTTCTTCTTCTTCCCCTCTGCTTGCTTGAGGGAGCCCCAGCCTTGCTCATCTCTGCTGAGCACCCAGAGACTCGTAAATACCCAGCTGTCTTGGAAACGCTGAGTCCCAGGGCTAAGGGCTTTGATAGGCGTGGGCATGTGCTTGAAGGGTATCACATAGCCCAGACGCCCACGTCCCTTGGCCACTGCTGCACACTGGTAAACAGATGCATCATCTAGCCAGCTCCCGGGACAGGGCAGGGCAGGGTGAGGCAGCTTCTCCAGGGACCACACATGGGGACACACATTGTGGTCCTGTCCACCTGTCCTTGGAGGCAGCTGCCTTTTAAAGTCAGAGCAGATGAGCAAACGAGTGAGCAAGGTCCCTTCAGGGCAGAGACAGACTGGCTAGAGGACCAGCCTCAGGGGACCAGCAGGCATCGCTTGGCCTGGAGCCTGAGCGGTCCATCTCTTTGCCATGAATCATGTTTCCCACATTTGTGACAACGAGCACTACCTCCCCCCAATAATCTTCCAAAGCATGTTCCTGCCATTTTCCTGTTTTTTTCTGCAAATGGAAATTCCTTTATTTTTCCATCTGTCCTTCCTATGCTCTGGAACCACTCTTTTCTAGGTGGGGGTTGTATGCATATGTTCTTTTATTATCAATAATAATTACAATAATGCCACACAAATGTAGCACTATGTGCCAAACATAGTTGTAGGTGCTTTATGTATATTAATTTGGGGTGACATCAGGGGAAAAAATGACAGAATAAGAACCACCTCCCCTCAAATCTTCTTCTCCATAAAAGAAAGACAAAACAATTTTTTTAAAAAAAAAAAAAAAAGGTCAAATCAATGTTTTCAGAATTGTGGCAATCTACCAAATCTTGTAGCAATCTAGAATTGCTTGTTCAAGAAAATGGGTAACTCTTAGGATGAAGAGTAAGTTTTGTGGTATTTTTACTTTAACAAGGAATTTAAATAGTATTGCCTGTTTATGGGAGAGGGGACAGAATACAGCCATAGATCCTAAGAAAGCCCAGATATTGGACTTACTGAACAACAATCAGTTATTTAAAATATATTTCCCATTCCTCTTCCCCCATCTTTGTTGCAGCTTTGAAAATCAACATCTCACCATCACAGTGAAAATCAGCAGCCTGGTAGCCACTTACAGGGGACAAGAAAGGATTGAATCTCTTTCAAAACCCTTTTTCTAGATAACTGTCATTATCTGACCTATGTGGTCATTCCCTAGAAGTCTTTACTTGCAAAGCTATCATTATGTGGCCCAACTCTGAGCTCATCCAGTGCAAATAGTCGATTTCTCAAGGGCATTTGTTGAAAACAATTAGAGATGATAGGTTAATATCATGGCTGCCTGAGCTGCAGATAACAGTTGGGCCATGTGGTAGGCTATGCAAAGAACTGGAGAATGAGATGTTCAGAGGTAGCTTTGAAGAACTGAAGCATAGTCCTAATAATCTAGAAGGCCATGTACAGTGCTGTGTGTATGCTCAGGAAAGATCTGCAAAGGCCCTGAATTCTCACCTCTGCCTTATCTTGAGGTTCTGTACAAATACAAAGTGAAGGCCAAAGCAGAGATGTAGGCTGCTTCTCTAAGTGTTTAAGCCATGTCTCAAATGTGCAGAGCCCCTCAGTAGAGAGGGTGACGCATTTGTTCTAAGCATTTTAGGAAATCTCTATTGACCAGCTACTAAGCTAATGGAATAGAGATTTCAGTAGTCACACATGACTAAGAATACATACTTCACAAAATTAGTTCAGAGCAGTCACTATATAAGCAACAACAAACAACAACAGAAGCAAACCCTCAAGAACAAGAATCTGATTTCCAGTGTTGCCTCATCATATTACTTAAAAAACACAAGACATAGTGGATGCAGTGGCACATACCTATAATCACAGCAGCTCAGGAGGCTGAGGAAGAGCATCGCAAGTTCAAAGCCAGCCTCGGCAACTTAGCAAGGCCCTAGGCAACTTATCTAGACCCTGTCTCAAAAAAAAAAAGAAAGAAAGAAAAAAAATTGAAGGGTTGTGGATGTGCCTCAGAGGTTAAGTACTTCTAGTTTCAATTCTTCATACCAAAAAAAGCACAAGCCACACAAGTAACTAAAATGTTATGGACTGTTTGTGGGGTCAGGGAGCAGGAATGAGTAAACAGATCTCTAAGGAAGCCCAGATATTGGACTTACTGGACAAAGACTTCAAATCAGCTATTTAAATGCATTGAAAGAATTAAAAGACTCCATATCTAAAAAACTAAAAATGAGAATGGTGTCTCATGAAATAGAGAATATCAGTAAAGAGACAAATATTATTTTCAAAGGTCCAAACAGAAATTCTGGAGTTAAAAAATGTAACAACTGAAATCTTAAAAAATTGATTATAGAGAATCAGTAAGAGATCTGAGAAGAGAAATGAAAAAAAAAATAGTGAACTTAAAAATGGATCAACCAAGATTAGCAAATGTAAGGAACAAAGAGAAAAAAAAAAGAATGAAGCATAATGAATAGAGCCTCAGCGAGCCGTGGAACACCATCTAAGATACCAACATGTGCATTCTGAAAGTTCCAGAAGGAAAGGAAGAGAGAGAAAGGGAATGGAACAGAAATGATTACGAAAAAATAATGGCTAGCACTCCCCAGATTGAATGAAATATTATTTTATAAATCCATATAGCTCCATGAAGCCTGAGAAATGTAAACTCAAATAGATCTATACCTAGTCAGTCCATAATCAAGCTTTTGAAAGATAAAGACAAAGGGGCTGGGGTTGTGGCTCAGTGGTAGAGCGCTTGCCTAGCATGTGTGAGGCCCTGGATTCAATCCTCATCACCACATAAATAGATAGATAGATAGATAGATAGATAGATAGATAGATAGATAGATAGATAGAGGTATTGTGTTCATCTACAACTAAAAAAAATACTTAAAAAAAAAAAAAGATAAAGACAGAATCTTGAAAACAGAGACAACACATCACACCCAAGGGATCCTTAATAAGATAGACAGTTGATTTTCCTCAAAAGCAGATAGAGACCGGAAAGCAATGGACTGGCATACTTATATTAGCTCATCTGATTTCTCCCAGAAACCTCCATGAGATCCACCACATGATTGTCATTTCATCTTACAGAATATGAGGCACACCTAGTTGAGCAAGTTCACTCAGTTACTGAGTGCAGCATCTTGTATTCACACCCAGGCCCTGTCCCTAACCTTTACCTTCTTAATCACGACGTTATACTAAGTTCAACAAGCCAGCAGGCAGGTGCTCATCCTATAGGTGTTTTTCATTCTACAGGGAGAAGCACTGAGGCTGAGCATGCCCTTCCCAGCCTAACCCTCTGACAGGCTGAAGTTCAACCTTCACTTCTTGAATCCAGAGCCTCCTTGCTCTCCAGACACACCCGCCCCCACATCCTCCACTAAATGCTGCTGGCCCAAGTGACCATGAGGCGTTCAGCTTATGACATACCATGGTTTGGGGGCAGCTAGTCTAGTACAAGAAGGAGATTTCTCCAGGCCCCATTCAGCCATAGATGCTCGAGGCTCTGAGTACAGGAACTGTCTGATTTTTCCACTGCCCCTAAAGAGCCTCAGAAGGAGTACTGTGTACTAGATCAACATCTGAGGTCAATTCAGATGTCTTCATAATGACAGCAGAGGCCTCCCCAGTGGTCAGAAGAGATGATGTGTCTGGAGGCCCAGGTCAGTCCCCAGAGACACCATCCCCTGCTCCTGCTTCTTCCAGGCTCTGTTTCCTTGGGGAAAGACGGCAGCTACTCCAGGGCCCCAGGACCCTCATGGCCCATCTTCTCCCCTAGACTCAGTGCAGATACTGGGGCCTCGTGAAAGCACATGCACTGACCCTGAGGAATCTCAGGGGCTCCCTTCACCATCCACATGAGCCCTGGCCGGAGGCTGAGACCGTAACTGGACTTTATCTGTCAAAGAGCAGGGCTCTGAAACTCGGGGACTCGGGTCCCGGCATTTCTCCAGTCTTCAGTGGAGGTGAGAGGAGACACAGCACTGAGAGACCAGTGATGGGAACGTCCCTTACAAAAAGGATGAATGACACTGGGAGGAACTTCCTTCCCCATCCCGGAGGCACCAGCTCCCTCTGGTTTTCCTCACACCCACAAATTATCCTGAGTGTATTAAATTCTCCATTAACCGGCACCCGCTGCCCGAGTCCATCCTCGGTGACCGTCCAGATCATCCTGTTACTCGAGTTCACCTGGGGGTCAACGTGCCCTCGGCTCTGGTCCTTTGAGGTTGGCACGCCAGCCGGGGTTCTGTACCTCCTGTGACTCCCTAAGCCAGAATACGTGGTTAGCCGGCCCCCGCCAGCCCCCAGTGGAGACTGACAACTGAGTTCCCTGTCTTCTTTGAGCACTCATCCACTTCACATCTTTCAACCGCTCAGTCTTACAGAAAGAGAAATGTTGAGATCACCATAAGCCATTGATGGAGAGGAAAGGGGACGGGAGGAACCTCAGAAATCCTAACTCTTCCCGGACCCTCCTCTTGGCCGCTGGGCTCGCGGCCCACTTGATCAGAAGCACCTGCGTCTGTGGAGGCCCGAGCTGTGCTCAGGAGTGATGGAAGTGGAGGTAGGGGTGGAGAGAAAGGTGGGCAGGAAAGCTCGGAATCTGCTGTCCGTGCCAGACTGTCCCTGTCCCTTTCCCCCAACTCCTTACCTTGACCCAGTGAGCTTCTCACGGCCTCTTTGGATGTCCCTCCTTTTCAAGGTGTCCTCGATGTGCAGTTTCCCAAATACCACCCACGCGGACCAGGGGGCACAGCTGGGGCTGCCACCTGACAGCGCCCTGGGCCCTTCTTGAGTGACACTGGCAGCTGCCTGACTTGGCTTGTCCCAACTGAGGCCTGGGTCTGGTGTGTCCACTCCACCTCTGGGGGCCGTCAGGGACCATGGAGGGGCCTGTGGTCCCCCTCAGGCAGCCACACAGTCCTGCAGGGGATGCTCCTCCCAGGGTAGAGGACACTGGCCTTCTTCATGGGCCAAGTCCAGGGCAGGAGGTGGATCATCCCATCCACCCTTGGGCCCACAGAGCAGACCCATCAGAGAGAAGCTGATGCTTCCAGAAGAGGGGATCCCACCCGCTGGGCACCCTGTTCCCTCCACCCGCTGTGAGGGCATTTAGTAGAGGAGAAGAGGGAGAGGAGAGCGGTGGGCCTGGACCACCCCAGGAAGACATAGCGCTCACAGCCTGGCGCCTGCAGACAGGCCCAGCCCCGACTGCACGGCTTGCTGTTCATCCTACTCATGCCATGGGCCCCGTCCACCCCGAGTGGACCTGATTTACCTGTGGGGTTGGCACCTGAATGCTTCCTGGGAAAGTCACCTCAGAAACCCAGAAGGACCAAACAGCTACGTGCAGCCAGACTCTGGAGGTGGCCTTCAGCTCACCACCCCCACGCGTGGAGAGAGAGTGGCCGGGGAGGCAGCTGACCGTGAAACGCTTGAATCCAGTCAATCCTCCTCGGAGCGTTTTTAATGACAACTGAAATGGGCTCTTAAGACACAAAAAAAAGAGAAAGGTTCCTTTTGTCCGGAGGGAGACCCAGGGAGACTGGTGACATAGCATGAGCCATTTTGAAGCAGCAATTCCAGAAAATCTATAGCTTATAATCTGAAAAACGTAAGAGGTTTGCATTATGCTCTAAAATAGCAGCGACGCTGTGAGGGAGAAAGGAGCAGCACCGATTCTGACCTCGTGGTTGGCCACTAGGAACCCCAGGTAACTCGTTCAAAAGGAAAATGACTTAAATATAGAAGCTGGTGGAGAAAGGCTGTTTACTGCCAGGAACATCTACCGCTGCTAAACCAGACCCCATCCCCGGGTGTCGCCTCCTTCCTCAACCTCAGGAGAGGTTGCAACCCTGACTTTGGAGGACAGGAAATGGGTAGGAGGACACAGGATTAGGTGGCAGTAAAGCCATGCCTTTGGCAGCTCCTAGGGCACATTCCTAGAAGAAAGAGCATCCGTCTCCTTGTGATCAACCCAATGTAGCCTGGAGGTGAAGCCGTGAATTCACAAAGTAGATGTCATTTAAACCAAAGACAGAGGCAACGTTCAATGAAGGGCCTCACACAAATAAAAAGCAACCTAATTGAGGTTTTTTTTTTTTTTTAAGAATTATTATAAACTAATACAAAATAACTCATTGACTGCTCCCTAAATCTGGAGTAAAGGTAAGCAAGAAGACTCTACTTCATGCCGTATCTAGTTAGGAGAGAGGAGAGACTAAAAGAGAAAAATAAAAGTGAAACTATAGTTCAAATCAGCAAGAATTTCTTTGTGCTGAACCCCTCGTCCTGCCTCCCTATCAGATGCAGATTTTGGGTGTCCACAGACCTTCTGTGGCTTTTAAGACAATGCTCAGGTAGAGCAAGTAGCTTGCCAGGACAGGTTCTGTCTGGCCTGCCACACAAGCACGGTTCCTGAAGGTCTAAGGAAATGGCATGAGGGTCACACTCAGCTCTCACGTTCCTGCCTGGGTTCAAGTTCATCCTGACAGTCACTCAGGAAAAACCCTCTGCTAGAATTTTTAAAGGCCAGAACAGGGGTTCCCAACTTGGCTGAGCATCAGAATCTCCTGGAAAGCTTTTGAAAAGCCTGCTTCCCGGGTACCCCTGTGAATCTGGGTGGGCCTGGATTCTGATAAGAAACCCACATTTTGGGTGAATACAAGGTTTCTTGGCTATTGACATTTGGGGCTGGATAATTCTAGGTTGTGGGGGGTCTGTCCTCTGCATTGTGGGGTGTCCTGCCGCATCCCCCGGCTTCCAGATGCCAAGAGCCTCCTCTCCACACCACAGTGTCTCCAGGCCTTGCCCAGTGTCCCCAGGGTGAGGCGCTGCTTGGCTGAGAACGGCGGGTTGGTCCTGTGCCCTGTTCCCCGGATGAATGACAGACCTGGGCCCCAGCCTGTGGGCCTGATGAGGCTCAGCAGCACACGCTCCCTGTCCTGTCCACTCCTTTGGCCTTTGCTTCCTGAGGATCTCCCGGCTGCTTATGCAACCCCATTGTCCTGCGGAAAGGGTGTTCTGAGGGTCGGGGGAACAAATTTGGACCCAGCAGAATGACGCCAACTTCTCTCAGCCAGGCTTCCAATTGCTGCTGGTCTTTCCTCCCAACTCACTAGCGTCTTCCTCCTTTGCAGAGAAGAACTGTTCCTACTTCAGGCATTTCAACCCCGGTGAGAGCTCAGAGATCTTCGAATTCACCACTCAGAAGGGTGAGGCCTGGGAAGCTGGGGCGGGGCAGGGGGGACACTGTGTCACAGGCGGCTGAGCCAGGATGTCATGTGGCAGAAAAGCGCTGGTGAGAAGCAGCCCTGGCCTGGCGTGTTTGAACGGCAGCCTTGCCGCCTCCCATGCCGGGGAACTGCAAGCGCAGTGTCCCGATCCAGGGGCCCAAGCACATTTGTCAGAGCTGGGGACAGTTGGGGACAGTTCCTGGGAGGCTCTAGGTTGCCGCAGGAACACACTTTCCAAAAGATCCCAGGAAACAGGACAAGCGCCCACAGTCCCAGGAAGTTCTCTGCGGTGGGAATCCCTGGGACTCCCCCTCGATAAGGGATCCCCCAGGACTGGGAGGAATGTCAGGCCCTGGATCCGTGGAGCTCAGGGCACAGCAAGCCCGCGAGAGCGCATGCCCACACAGACATACATGACAGATGCCCACGCGGGACACACACACACACACACACACACACTGATGGATCCTCGTACACAGGGCCCACTCACATGTGCACACACAGATCCTCACACTTGGAACACAGCATACACTGACAGACCCTCACACTAACCACTAGGTGACCCCACCATACCCTCACACACAGGCTAGGCCACCCCACACTCTGTCCCTGGAGGACCCTGTACAGACCACCCGCCTCAGTGCCTCCTTCTGCCTGTCACTCAGAGGAGGTTTCTGCTCCATCTACAAAGCCTCTGGCCATGTACCTCCTGGCCACGTGCCTCCTGACCTCCTTTGGGGGCCTCCGTCCTGGGGAGAGCCCCGTAATTTAGTGCACAGCAAAGACACGGGGTGAAAAGTCCCGTGACCATCTGGCCACACCCCTTCCCCTTGAGCGAGCCTCTCGGCCAGGTGTGGAACAAGAACTGTCACCGAGCTGGCTAAAGGTCCAGCCAGCAGTGGCGAAGCACTGGGGATGCAGCCCAGTTCTGAGCGGCCCTGTTTCACAGAGTACAGCATCTCCGCGGCCGCCATCGCCATCTTCAGCCTGGGCTTCATCATCGTGGGCACCATCTGCGCACTTCTGTCCTTCCGGAAGAAGCGGGACTACCTGCTGAGGCCAGCGTCCATGTTCTACGCCTTTGCAGGTACACGGGGCTCCTGCCCTTGCCCGGGTGGGACCACTCTGTCCCAATCATGGCGCGGCCCCGCTTGGCTCCTGCCTACCGCAGGGCTTGAGGGGGACCATTCCCCAGCTCCATGCAGGAGCACCTTGGTTGGGGGCCTCGGCGACCCCAGGAGGGTTGGCAGGGAGAAAGCTTTTGCTATTTCATCTGTTTTTCACAATGACACTATCCTCAAGACACTGAGGAGACTTCCCAGGGCGCCATTAGCAAAAGAAGGAAGGAAAAGTGGTGATCTGGCCAGCCTGCTCAGGGAGGTGGAATCGCAGGGTAGAGGGTGGTGGGCGGATGGGTCACTTTTGCAGATTCCTCCCCACCCAGGGCAGGGTCACTGCCTTCCCCGCCAAGCAGTAGGCTGGGGTGGCAGCAGGAGTGCCCTGGGACGCTGAGAGGCCCCGGCTCTGTCCCCAGGGCTCTGCATCTTTGTCTCAGTGGAGGTCATGCGGCAGTCGGTGAAGCGCATGATCGACAGTGAGGACACGGTCTGGATAGAGTACTACTACTCCTGGTCCTTTGCGTGCGCCTGTGCCGCCTTCGTCCTGCTCTTCCTTGGCGGCCTCGCCCTCCTGCTCTTCTCCCTGCCTCGAATGCCCCAGAACCCCTGGGAGTCCTGCATGGATGCTGAGCCGGAGCACTAGGCCTCGGAAAGCTGAGCCCCAGCCCAGAACCTTCCAGAGAGGAGGTGGGAGTTTCATCTCTGTCCTGTTCCCCTCTGCCCCGTTCTGTGACTGTCATGGGCTGCATCCCCTCTCTGAACTTGTCTCTGGGTTGTGACAAGCTTCTCTGCGAACAGCAAATGGACGTGAGCCCAGCCCTGCCCAGGATCAGAGAGAAGAGGGCCAGCAGATGCACGGGTGTTTGGAGGGACCCAACTGTCCAGCAAAGACCAAGGTTGTCCCGCTGGGCCAGTTGTCTTTAAAAACCCGACAAGGACACCCTCTGCCCATTTACCAGGTCTAGGAGTCACCTGTGTAAAAAGCCAGCCCCCCCCCGTTCTTGGTGACAAGGTACACCCTTTTCAGTGAACTGAACCTCCCTCCTTGGCTTCCAGGAGACCTGACTGGTAGGATCTGACTGTTGTTTGAAATAAAAACTCTCAGAAAACTCACTCTTTCCTGGCGCCTGGCACAGCAATAGCTTGGATTCCTGGTCACAACCCAGGGGCCCCGAACCTGGAGGGGAAAGGAAGGCGTGTCTCGGTGGATGTTGGGGACATTTGGGAGGAGGGGTGGGCACGAGGGGGAAACCGACGACGGCTGGGAGGTTCTGAGTTCCACCTTGTATCTCTGGGCTCTGGGGATTGTTTGGGGCGAAACTGGAAACCCTCTGACCAGGCGAGGGTGTTAAAAATAGGTGGGGTTATTTCTAGAGTCCGGGGCGCCAAGCATCCGGGGCCACCATGGTGCTGAAGCAGCACAGCCACTGGGCTCTGGTTTCCGATGCCAGATTTTTGTTGCAGAGAACATCAGGAAGCAGGGCTTAGCAGTTAGAGCCGCCTGGAGTGCCACCATTTGTGCGCTTCTGCCCCCCCCCAAACCCCGCCGTACTCACCCGGGCTTCAGGAAACAGAAGTCAGACGTGGCTGGCGGTTAAGATCCTCACACTCCTCGTGGGGGACACCAGAGAACCATCTGGAGCTGGTTCTTCTCTGACTGGGGTTGGCGGACGAACCTCAGCCTGTGGGCAAACCTGGCTCCCTGTCCCTGGTGTGGTCTGCAAGCTATGAGTGGGTTTTACAGCTTTAGATGATAGAGGAAGGAGGAGGAGGAGGAGGAGGAGGAGGAGGAGGAGGAGAAGAAATGATAAATATCATCGCATGATATGTGAAAATTATATGAAATTCAAATTGGTGTCCATAAATAAAATCGTATTGGCACCCAGCCACACCCATTCCCATGGGCACACAATGTAGCTGCTTTTGTTCACAATAGCAGCCTTGAGTGAATTCATCAGAGCTGTTTTGGCTGCAAAACTAAAAATACTTGCTCTTCAGTCCTTTATGGGAAATGCTGACCCTTGTTCGGGAGTCATCGCGCACCCCTTAGACGGATCATTAACCCCTCACGGTTCCCATCTATGAAAGACATTTGTTTATTCTTTCACTGCACCTCGGCCTAGAACAACCGAGAAGGGAGGATCACAAGTCTGGAAGGCACCTGGGTAGTGGCCACAGTGGGGTTTGTGAAGAGTCCTCTCTGATGTCTCAGGGGCTGGGCTGGACTTGGAGGGGTGTCTGAGGAGCCTGAGGGGGCCAGCGTCAGCTCACCCTGCTCCACAGTTAGGGATGGAGCAGAAAGTCTGGCCTACGATTAGCAAATCTGAAAAAAATCCAAGATACCTGGGGGTGTACCATGCAATGCAGAGAACCAAAGCCTTGGGAACCCGGAGGGTGCGCCCTGCGGACACCAGCCCGAGGCTGCCGCAGCTGGCTCTGTCCCACCGCCAAGAGCAGGAAACTGACTGCAAAATGCAAAGATGGACTCCGAGAGCTGACCTGCTCCTGGTGGAGGAGAAGGACAGGGAAGCGGAGTCCTAGCCACCCCGGAGCACAGTGCATGAGCCAGGGGAAGCCATCCCACAGACAGCCGTCTGGAAGGCCCACGGTTAGCAGAGTCAGAGGGTGCGCTTTTCACATTGCCACGCGATGCCTGTGCTTCTGACCTCGGAAAGGAACATCCACAGAACACAGACCATCTGGCTGCCCCCAGTTTTCGCTGCTTTGAGACAGGCTTCTGAGCACCGGAACCACGATGCAGATGAAAGGGTCCGAGGGCAGCTGCCAGACAGCCACGCATGGTGGCACCCACACCAGCCTCCACCGAGGAAAAGACAATGCGGCAAAGCAGAAAGGAGCCTCGTGCCAGCAAGCAAACCAACCAACCCAAACCAACCAACCGGGAGGGAAACGACCCCAGCCTGCCCACCGCTGCTCGCCGGGGGGCATCTGCAGCGGGCAGCTGGTCAGCCTTGGGCCTGGTTAACTGAAGGCCCAACCAAGCCCCACTCTGAGGGCCCAATATGTGCTGAGCCTCGGAAACCCGGGGCATCTCATTTCCTTCATGTGGGAATTGAATGGCCACCAAACCCTGGTATTCCATACCCCTGTCTCAGCATTCCCATCTCCGCCGTCTTCCTTCCCTGACGTATGGAAGGTAATTGAGCCACGATGGGCAATTCAGTCACCAAGGTGAATGAGGTTTGAGAATTAAAAAAAAATTTTTTTTAAATTTTTAAAATGTAATTAAAAGTAAATTTTTAAAAATGTTAACAAAACTACCATCTTAATCATCTCTAAGTATACAATTCATTGAAGTCCATCTGCTTAATTGCAAAACCACTATCCATCTTTTCAAAATCTTGCCAAACTAAAACTCTCTACCTGTTAAGCAAGAATGCTCCCTGTACCCTCCTCCAGCTCCTGGCACCCACCATCCACATCCCGCCTCTAGGGATCTCTAGGGGAAACTGAGGATCAGAGAAGGCTTTCTTACTGCCACCTAGTGACAAACAGAAGTTAGGACCAAAACTGCAGCTTCCCACCTGTCTGACCAGGACCCCTTACCAATGCTCATTGGGCCTCCACCTAGGTACTAGAGGTAGGAAAGGGACAAAGGTGTCTTACTTTTTTTGGCCTTCCCAAGAGCTTGGCTTGAAATTTCAAGGATCTCTGTACCTTTATTTTTAATTTTTAGCTGCCCCATCAAGGAGGGCAAAAGATTTAACCACCTTCCATTGCAGTATTTCCCCTGCCAATGAGACTTGTCCTATGTTGACCAGATATTTTATTTACAAATTCATTTCTAATTTATACCCTGCCGCTTTTAGTAAAGATCAGAGTGGAGACAAGGCATGCATAAACCCAGGATGTGGAGCGTTATCTATTAAGCGATGGCTGGAGTCGGGTGGGATGCAGCCTCCCGGGCCTCCCCGGCCTCCATTTCACAGTCTTACTGAGCCGCAGCCACTAAGTCTGTCAATTAATCCCCACAAAGGCCACTGATCCTATGCGGCCAAGAAAGTTAATTAAGAATTTCCGTGTGAGAAGCAAGGCTTTCTATTCTTTTTGACTTTGTCCCCTACGAGACTTTTTGCCTGAGTGTGAAAGAGCTGACTTGTTGGGCGTCTTCATTGTGAGCTTTGGCTTGTTGCTCTCTACGCACGAAGTGGTCCCCGATGGGAAATTTGTCTGCAAAGCCACCACCTGGGAGCTCTTGGCTGAGAGCTGAAGGAGCTCAGAAAACACATTTCCAAGTCCCCCACTTGAACAGCGGACCCGCCTCTCCCCACCAGCCAGGCCTGGCAGATGCCACCGGGAGCAAACTGACAAGCACTTCAGAGGGCCTCAGGGCGCCAGGTTGTGATTAACAGTGCGAACGGGGACAAGCAGGGGTGCAGCTCACCTAGAAGCATCCAAGAGGCAGAGACGAGACAATATGCAACCCTCCCAGGCCGGGGGGGGGGGGGGGGGGGGGGGAAAGGAGGAAAGACATCATAGATCTGAGGCCTGTGCGCGTCCACCGGAGACAGCAGGACCAATTGCAGGCAAGTGAGGCCGCGGGCTCTTGGCCCCTCTTCCGGGGAGGTGGAGAGTGGGCAGAAGCCAGATCCAGGGTGGCGCTCTGAGCAGAGCCGTCTGGGATGCAGGACCCCCGAGCTGTGGTCCCGCAGGTCTCACAGTGGTTGCCTCCATCAGAGGGTGTGTCACGTCTGGTGGAGGGAAGTGTCCACTCCTCTCGACTGTCTCCAGACAGTAGAAGATGTCGTGGGACCAGAAATGGCGCCCTGCATAGGGTGTGAAGGCCCAGGGTCCTGCCTGCTCTCCGTGGCACAGCCTCTCAGGGCACAGTGGGCTCCTTCTCCTCAGGGTCTGCTTCCCACAGGGTCAAGGGCAGCAGGGCTCGGGCAGCAGAAGCCAGCCAGCCCGCGGATCCGCTGTTGAAGCCTGGGGCCAGGAAACTGAGAGAGGAAGAGAGGGAAGAAGGGAGGGAGGGAGGAAAGGCAAGCTTTCAGGGAAGGAATGTGGGACCGTGAGCAGGGCCAAGCACAGCGTGGCCCCCAGATCACGGAGGGCGGGGGTCCTGGGGCTGCGGGGAGAGGCCTGGTGTCATAGTGGCCGCCTGTGGAACTTCTCTGGGCCTCCGTCCCTCACCTGTAGATGAAACCTGCTCACGTGCGTCAGAGCAGCTCCACCAGTTCTGTTCTCGTGGTCTTAACACAAGGAAATACAAGACCTGGCCCCATGGTTTGGGAGACTCAAACTTCAGAGTTTGAAAACCACCACACAATCCACTTGTAGGAGTGAGTTCAGTCTCACTGGGTCCCAGTTTTCTGGGGAGATCCGTTTTCCAAAGGCTTCTCTGAGCTGTAGGAAAACTGGGCTCCAGTTTATTCCAATAAGTACTTATGTATGTTATGTACACCATTTTGGCACCTTAGAGACCTCCAAAGAGCTAAAACTTGTGCTGAAACTGTCTTTGAAGGAGACCTTAAAACCAAGTTTCTATAGCCATTTTCTCTGTGTACATTTTAACTTCTTGTATGTGTTTCATGAATTAGGATTTTTGTTTTACATTATTAGGTCTTTGTAAACTACAGGCCCAGGCATGTCTCCTCAGATAAAAAAACAGTGCAAGCAGTTCATTTTTATGAATCACAATGCTTGCTTATTTTGCCCAACTAAAATAAATAAGTCTGATTTCAGATATAAGACTGTATCTGTAGTTTGTAGTCCATAGATTCCAGTGCCGAATGTTTCTGTTGTTGAGAATATCATCATTGCTCTAATGAATTGATTTTTTGTAAAAGGTAGGTATACTAAATAATGGATAAGTATAATATCAGTCTGCCTTATATATTTAGGTTCTAACCTAAGGCTTTGTTAGAGGAAAAGGATCCTCTTAACATTTGTGGAAACCACTGAGAATCATCTGGTCATTAGATGGTCTTTAAGATCCCTCCACTCACCTTCCATGAGGTGGTTCCTGCAATCAAAACAGGTAAGAGGAGCTGGGGATACAGCTCAGTTGGTAGAGTGCTTGCCTTGCATGCACAAGGCCCTGCGTTCCATCCCCAGCATTGCCTAAAACAAAAACTTCAAGAAAGACCTCCTTAAAGCGGAGCCCATCTTGTTTATCTCAGGGATCACTGAACCCATCCTGCCTAGGTCTCCCGTGACCTCACAGGTGCCAGCTGCAGGCACTGAACCTTCCTGGAGGATTTTGTACTTTTTCTTTTGGGGGAGTACCTGGGAGTAAACTCAGGGACACTCGACTACCTACCGAGCCACATCCCAGCCCTATTTTGTATTTTATTCAGAGACAGGGTCTCACTGAGTTGATTTGCACCTCACTTTTGTTGAGGCGATCCTCCTGCCTCCGCTTCCCAACTGCTGGGATTATAGGCGTGTGTCACCACACCCAGCCATTTTGTACTTTTGACCTCAGCTTTCTTCTTACTTAACGTTCTCCTGACTTCCCCTGGCCTTTCCTTGGCAGTGTTCGTTCTTTTGCCACCTGTCTTTAAACTTGGGTGTTTGCGAGGTCTTATCTCACACCACAATTTCTTAGAAATTCCATTCATTTCCAGGGCCTGGGCTTCCTAGGACCACAGTTCCCAGTCCATCTGGGAGGTCACCGTGTTGGGTCCTGCAGGAACCTTGCTCCCCAGCGGTTCCAAGCTGCCAGTGCCGACGTCCAAACCCAACCCATGGCTCTTCTTATCCAAAGCCACTCTGTCC